GAAATCGAAGATGGTGATGCTCGAGTGTGAAATTGCTGACTTCTTCCACAAAATCAGAAGTCTAATGCTACAGTAGTGCCATTGCCAAATGGGAGGGGAAATGATATTTGAGGAGCTGACGTCTTTCTGTACTAAAGTTTTCCATCTTCTTCTAGGTATGGTAATAATAATTGGAGCCTCAGAAGAGAATGAACTGAAATACCACCTTAATTATAGATCTGCTGACACTCATAGCTGCTTGCTTATTTTCGGTTGGATTTAACGTCCACCTACACTTCCAATTTGTGTGCTCTTGGGCTAACAAGCTCCAAGAGCTTTTGCTAACAAGGTTGCCCCAAGGACATTTTGTTATATTGCTGATGGATTCTGTGGGTGGATGGTACAGAATGCAATGCTCAATAAGCAGCAGGTTTTATTTTAGTTTCTTATTAGTTCATAGCAACTTTTAAGCATATTTCCTGCACTCTGTCTCCCCAGTCAAATCAGTGTGTAGTTCAAACAACAAATAACTGTTCCTTAAACTTCAGGTGAAGTTGTAAGATTCTGATGGAGAGCTTCATCTTTGAGATCTGAATGGTGATTTGAGTGTCGCTTATATCTCTTTTTTGGTGGGTGTGTGTTTTTTGACAAAATAGCTAAAAAGCCAATACTGAGCCAGTGAGTCAAATGCAGTGGGATACAAACTGATAAATACTGAATATTGTTGTTGTACGTACCACCACACTTTTCTTGACACTGGGCTGTCCAAAATGCTGTCAGACATGATGTTTTTCTGTACTTACCTACTTGTTATTACAATCTAGGAAGAGGACAACTCTTTCTCCCTATAGAATCCTGCTTATTTTGCTTATCTTTTGCTTCTCATTTAACTGTGCTTTGGAGTGACCTCTGAGCATGTGGACTTTTGGAGGAAACAGTCTAGAGGAGCAACTTCTAAAGAGCATCTTGTCCAAAGAGCTACGCCAAAGCTAGCCTGAAATAAGGCCCTCTGAAATCTGTGTAGAGTGGATGTCATAGCCTTAGCCTCTCCCTCCAGATCTGCTGCTGTTGAGCTGTCTGAATTGCTGATGCAGACACAGCTGCCATACCCTTCTCAACTTGTTTTTAATTTAAAGTTTATCAAACCTTCGAGGAAGGGGAGGTGGAATCTGCAATCCATCTTATACCGCTGGTGTGACAACTTCAATTTGAAATCTAATTTAAAAGTAGGCAATGCTTTGGATACTTTTTTTTTTTTTTTTTACTTGTATTATTCCCTCTTTTATTGTCTTCCACTTCAGTGCCTCTACAGAGGCAGAGTAGCAATAACGTTGCAGCTGCCCTTTCGCTGTCTTCTAGACCATCGATGATTTATGGACTGCAGCAGGAGAGGAGCTCAAAGCGGGATGACCACTGCATTTGGATGGGGTAGCTGAGGGCTATGTCCTAGGGGGTCTTGGAAACGGCGAGGGATGAAGACTCCTCCAGTTGTCCCATTGCTTGACTGGCTCCCTCTGTCCTTTGCATCCTGCACAGGACAGCACAGGCACCAAGACCTTGTGCCAGAATAAATAAGGACAGAGGAGTCTTGAGCAGAGCTTGATCCAAAGCTTGTTGTTCAATCAGAACTGGTGTTTCAAAGACAGACAGACAGCTCCTACTAGAGCTAATGGATAGAGAAAGCTGAAGGACAGAGTGCATCTCTTGACCAGACCATACCAGCTTGCAAGGACCTTAGCCAGTGGCTCTCACCTTAGGGTATATGGCTTGAACCCCCTTCTGGAAGGGGGGTGCTCAAGCCCTCTTCTCCAGAAACTCTGCAAATCTTCCTTAAAAGCTTCCTGCTTGCTTTTGTCCACACTGGCACAGTGACTCTTTTTCCCTTATCTGCAAAGTAAACCATCTTAGATGGGATGGTGGCCTCTCACCAGAAGGGCTTATGCCTGGTGAATGAGGCACTGCCCCTGGTGCAGGTTTGAGCCCCCCCAGGCAGAAGTGACAATTGAACTGAATTGCTGATGCCCTTGGCGTGTGGTGCAATAAACACTTGAATAAATAAAAAGTAGGTGGGACTTTGGGCTGTTTCCATCACAGGCTTCCCTTCCAGCACGATATTAAAACCACAGCTGTGTTCTCCTTTTGTACGGAGTCCAGTAGGTTGTGTGGGCTCTGGGACCACCAAGAGGACTGAACTCCCGAAGGGGACTGGGGCTGCGTATGGGCATCTTGTTGCCCCAAGCTGCTCAGCTGTGGTGAGCCAAGATCCCCTGTGCCTGTGAATGACACGGCACCCACAGGCAGTAACAATGTTTTTCCTCTACAAAGAGTGAACCAGTCCTGTCCAGGAGATTGGGTAGGGGAGGGTGAGATTGCCTTTTCTTCTGTCCTGCTCCCTGCTGTCTGTCAGGACTACAGCAGGGGCTGCTTTGCCATTTAATAGGCGCCATTGAGCAACATGTACCAATTCAGGAGAAATGGAGACAAAGTTTGACTTGTACTGTCTTTTATCCTGAGCTGCTTAATGTGTTCATACGTTGGGGGTTGCCATTCGAGGATGCTGTGCTGAAAGGGGCAGATGTGAGAATAACTGAAAACCAGAAGAGGCTGAATGTTCTGCCCAGCTGCTGAGACCCACGCGGAGCATCATTTCAGATGGTCTCTGTGCTTCTCGGTATTTGGCTAAGAGTGAAAACAGCATCTTGTATTCTTATTCTCTTTGTTGTCAATCATGTTGCCCTGCTTAAGGCCTTTTGTAGAAATTAGGTCTCTGCAGGAAATGGATAATGAGATCTGTTTAACCTTTCGGCAGCGCAGAAACTATGGAGGCAGACAGTTAAGGGGAAAGAGCTTTAGCTTAAGAGGAAGCCGGCTGCTAAATAGCAAACCAAAACAGTCAATTAATATACATAGCGGAATGAGGCATTATAGTGGGAGAAAATAATTGGAGAGCAGGACTCTCATTTGCAAAGATTTGGGGCACTGCTGCTAAACGCACTATCGATATTTTTGCAGCCAGTCAGCAGTGCGTGTGAGATCAACGCTTACTCTTCACTGGTGTGAGAAGGGTCTTTCTGTCAGCTATCATGGGAGAAGCCAGAGGCAGCGATCCTGTAGGTGAGGCTTGTACGAGTTACTGTCCTGCGTGCTGCTGTGAAAGCATCCCTGACTCATCCCGTGCTGCAGCGGTGCCAGCAGGTGGTGGTGGGGGAAAAGTAACCGTGGGCCATAGACAGGGGCAGATGATTTGCCATTAGTAGACAGTCACTCTGGATGTTTTTTTTCTGTGAAATATAAGTGAACCACTGGTAATAAAAAGAGTTTTCTTCACAGTACGGGCCTGAAGTCTGCTGCTTACCCAGGTGAGTAAGCCACATTAGGTTTGTAGGAGGCTGCCCCGATCCAGATAAGTCACCGCTGTGATTTTCTTTTACCCAGACCCGCTTGCACTCACAATCTGAGCTCACCAAACCCAGAGGGTAACACTTTGCATCCCCTTCACGTGCAGAGAGAGCTCCAGGTGTTGTGCGAGCAGGGCAAGGCTGTGGAGGGGCAAGTTCTCCAGGTACTTAATCCCACCATGGTTGGTGGGTTCTGCATGTAGGCAGAAGGTTCTGCAGCACTTTGATCACATGAGGTGAAATGAAGGAGTGTCCTTTGAATACCCACGCTGTGCCGTACCTGTTTTGGTCAGGTCCCTCTTTCCCAGGGCTCGGCTTAGCCTCGCCTGCCTCCTCCTTGGGTCTGGTCTATCACCTCCCTTCCCAAATATGCTCAGGTGGGTATTTGGTTGGTCTTACTGCTGAGAGTAGTTTAACTTGAGATGATTTACTACGAGAAAGCTGGGTGTTTGTTTCCACCTCTGCTGGATCAGGGTACAGAATAAGCACACAATGTTAGGCCATAAGTTAGCATGACATCCGAACACAAATATTGTCTTTATAGACTTTGTGAATAATGTAGCTCTGATCTACAGCAATTCCCATGGAAGTTAAGGTGTACTTTTTATTCCTGTATTGTAAACTCAAGTTCACAATAATTTGTCTTTGTTCTCTGGAAATCTGGGGAAGTTTCCTATTTCACAGGCTGTGTAGCAATGGGAAACGAGACTTCTAATAGCAACCTCAGTAACTTAATTTGGTCTAGCTCTTGTTTTGTGAAGGGGGTAAAAAACCTTTTGCTACATATTTGTTGGGATTGGATCATATCTAAAAAACTTTGCTCTCACTGAGATCAAAGGGGAGTGCTTTCCCTTCTCCATTCTTTTAAATCACTACATTGCTAAAACTAATCTATTCCCTGTCAATTGTTGGGAAGGCAGTTGAACTCATTTCTCATTACAGCCCATTATAAATCACTCCTCATTTCAATCTCATTTAGCTAATTCAGTCATCAAAGGATTGCAGGAGGCATAAAGTATTTTATTGATGCATTTAGCTCTTCACAGAATTATAAAAAGTATTGAACTTCC